CTCTCCTGCTTACTTCATCACAGATGGCTGTTCGGAGCAGTTGTCCATGGAGCTTATGTAGGAGGCACAGAGGCGATGAATGGCTTTTTTGGAATAGAAGGGCACCTTAATGGATATTTCTGCGAAAAAAAGGCTGTGAAGTGAGAACTTGCTTCAAGTACCGGGAATAGAAGGTTCTGAACATCATATTCGGCTTCCCTAATCGCCTCCCATACGTCTAACAGAGGACGAAGGCATCTGCCAACCTCTGCCTGGTTGTCGATACATTCCAAAGCTATAAAAACAAATTTCCCAAAAAGGATATCGGCAGAGACCACAACAGAAACACTGTAAATATTCTAATTAGGTCTCCCAGAAGAATGCATATCATTCACCGTAAAAACAAGAAAAACCAGCTTAACAAGGACGGGGCGCATTATTTTAAAGGATAGTAGAGATTGAATTAGTGATCAACACTTACGCTCGGGATTTCCTGGACTTAGAACGAATAGCAATAACCAAATAGCCCTCATAATAGGATCGCCGTAAATACACTCGAATCGTTCGCTTTGCGACGCCGGATCCGAGCCTGAGACACGCCCATAGACATGTCCGCCAAGAAAGCGGATTTACTCAGATGTCAGCGAACTGCGAAAACAACTATCTGACAAGACAGGTATCTTTGACGGCGAGTTTTCGATTCGTCGATTACTAACAAAATGAATGTGTCAGGGATGCGCCAGACATAAGATATATATCTTAGATATCGCAATTGTTATTTCAGAGCATCTATTGTTCACACAATACTCGCTTGAACTAGTGCAATCCATCGGAAAAACTACAGTCCTCTTCCATTCAGGACCGTAGTGAAAATTTGAGTACGGTATGACCTACACTTAACGCCCTATCGGCTGGCCTTGACTTACAAAGGCCAGCCGACAGGGTATGTCACCCTCCCAGGCAACTCCGCGACCAAATGCCGGTCTTGAAGGCATGGAAACGTTGGTTGACCCCGGATTATAGCGCCAGTTGCCGATGGCTGTTTTGACCCACGACTGTTTGCTTGTTCATCGGCGCTACTTATTCCTCACCACTTCTTCCCCTTCCCCCCCCTCCCCGTCCACCCACGCACCACCCCTCACCATCAACTTTTCCTAAAGCGTTGAAGGTATAATGCAAATACCAACGATAAAGTCAAAAGTTATTCGTAAATCTCCCTAGCCATCGAATAAACCGACAGCACAGACACTCTTTCTCATCTTCCAGTGATACTAATAGCACACAAACCACCTTATTTGTCTGCGTTCCACAATAATAGCCCCATCTCTTCCGTGTTCTGATGCGTGAAGGGGACCAGTTTGAAAAGTATATTGATTAGTAAGGAACAAGTTTAGCGGTGAGAGGCCTAAATGGTGAGGTGGGGCCACTACCAAACAGAAGGGGTTCGCTCTTTACTCACGTCAGCGTACAGCCTCTAGTTAGACATCAGTTTATCAGTTTAGATGAGGTGAAAGCCCTTAAAATAACACCAGAAAGAACCAATCGGAATCCTCTGATGGACCTGAAAACACTCCTCTTTCTCTTTACCAACCCTCAGTTAAAAGCTTGCTGCCCAACGAGCATTTTGCAGTCAGCAGTGGTTAAACAGTAAGCAATGGTTTACTCCTCTTGCATAGAAAAGTCGAGCTTTCATCGTTCATCGAATCATCTCATCACACTAACACTTGGCCTATTTAATCGCTCCAGTTACAGCGAAAGTTGTTAATTAACAGTGACACCGTTTACAGTTTTCTTTAAGTGTTCGCTTTCGTTTACTCTCGGCTTTGCCTAATACTTTCTCTACAAGGGATAATCGCCTGAGTTTCCGCGGCCAGTAACTGGACATGAAAACTAGCAGAGAATCTCCCTCGATGTCGATGTCATATCGCTAACTAGGAACAGGTCTGCCAACCTGGGGCGGAGAAACTCATAGAAACTTGTTGCCTGGCGCAGCCGTGGCGTAGATCGATAGCACGTCTTATTAAGGGGTTATTGATCAATAATTTAGATAGCCAAACTGCCAGCCTTGCATATCGCAGAGCATCTTATGAAGCAGGTAAAGTTTAGTAGTGGTGCAGGTGGGGTGGACGCTTGTGGTAGTGAGCTGGTGAAGCAGCAAGCCGAGGAATCAACCGCATACGTCAATTTGAGAAGTCGAACTCGAACCTTAACCACTGAACCACCTCATACTCCGATTCGATTCTCTGACTTGCTTCAACAGCTCATACCAGCGAAGCCCCACCCTTACTCTACCACTACAAACTATTACTTGCTAATAATGGCTTGTGAGAATACAGGTTGGCAGTTTAGCTAATCTATATTCAGAACTTAACTTAAAGACCATAGATTTACCCAGGTGAAAGCTTTTTTAGGGAGATTTCCAGAAAAGAAAGGCACATGTTAATGCAGTGTTTCTACTGTTCTTACTACCGTTTACCTAAATCTTCCTTTGTTAGAGAAATATTTTGATGCGATCCTGAGCGCTGAACGGCCAAATCGCCACGAGTGTTTTTTGTGCTCGGACGATGATAACTTCCTTCGCACGCAACCTTCTGCATTAAGATATGCACCATCACAAAGCGCAATATTTTCCCTTTCGAAATCGCTTTCCAGTTTTTTGAAAGATTTGCCGGACTGGAAGGTATTTTAGAGGGGTTTTTGATGGAGAAATGTGGAGTCACTCAGAAGAACTTTGACCCTTTCTGTGCCCGGTAAGGATGCATTTCAGCGACTTCAATATGTTCAGCAACACACATATTTCCCGCTTGAAGTGAGTCAAAGCACCATTCGGCGACGTCTCATCGAACGGTTTGGGCTCGCTACGTGTTGCGCCAGTGATTACGCTTCTGCGGCGAGTTTGAGCTGGAAAAGCGTGTAACTTTCTGCATTCTAGATGATTTTTGTCCACGCAGAAGCATCTTTGTTTAGGCATGCGACAAAGTCGATACGCACGAATCTGTCTGCGTCGCATTATTTAGTCATTTACGTGCTTACGAATTCATGGTATCTATTCATATTGCTAAATAATTATTTTTGATATTTCGTAGTCTCCCACACATTCGGATCCTCTGTAGCACTGCGTACGCTCCATCGAATTAGCGATGACACTTTTGTGCTGTTTGGTGCTTCACCGGCCCGCAGATTACACCGTCCCTCTGCTTGTTAGTACTGACCCCAGTGACATGGCATGTGTACCCTGGCCTTATAGAAGGAAAAGCAATCGCCACCCTCACAAAGGAAGGATGGGTAGGTCGAAGTGGCCATTTGAAATGAAATGTATACTGGCTGAAAGGTCTTCGGACGATGATGACGAAACCGACTTTCATATCTGCCGCGGACCTCCCAGAAAAAAGTTACGGAGCTTTTTAGGGGGGAAATGCTCGCATCCAGTACGAATTGGCGGAGTTAGGTTCACTTCAATTTTAGCGCGTGGCCGAGTAGTTATACTCGAAATCCCTGAGATCGGGTAGGCGTGGCCGCATGTTTCAACTTAACCTGAAGGTGTCTATGCTTCTGGTGAGATATTTTCATCTTGACACAATTGTTGTCGTGTCTCTGTCAACGCAGAACAAGATGACAGTTGTCCCAGACTGGAATATTCCACGAGTAACCAGTTCCGTGCCATGTTCAAATGCCACGCCTACTCTGGCTCAGGGATAAGGAGTGTACGTCGTAGGGCTCATGAATGCGCGGTCGAGGGTTTGAATCCTTGATGCGTGTGCTCTTTTGCATTTTTTCGAAAGTGGTCCCTGTGCACTTCAAAGCTATTTTGCATAACTCTTGTGCCTGATAATGTCGTGACGTAATGTAACTGATGGAGCCATTGCGAACGATTTCATGTTGAACATTTCTGGCTGAAGAGATTGTCATAGAAGCCGAAGGAGGTGCGAGAGCACCACTTTCGGATAGAACATCCTTCCATAGAACATCTCCAGCATGATTACCTCATTAACGCTACGTCATTTGAAAGAATTTTCAACTGTACTCATCTTCGTGCACAACTTCGTGCGGTTTCGGATTCGGTTTCCAGTCATGTCGTTTGGAGAATAAAGTCATTTTTCAGGGCAAACTCATCGTTGGAATGCACTTGTTTTGAAAAATATGCTTTTTCAAATGAAAGAAGAAGTCAACAGCCAAAAATGTTTTCCATGGAATCGTTCGCAATGGCTCCATCAGTTCAGAAACATTACGTCACGACATTATCAGGCACAAGAGTTATGCAAAATCGCTTTGAAGTGCACAGAGACCACTTTCGAAAAAATGCAAAAGAGCACACGCACCAAGGACCAAACCCTCGACACGCATTCGTGAGCCCTACGACGTATCCACTCGGCCACGCTGCCACTGCGATCGAATTAGGTAGCGTTTCAACTTCGCGACGCGATCGATGCAGTCGAAAGCATGCGCATCGATCGCGTCGAACGCGCGACCGAAGCGCTGCCGTCGCGAAGTCTGAACGCTGCCTTACCCTTACGCCGCCAATTCATACTGAATGTGAGCGT